AGAAAGAAAAAAGAAAGCTTTTTATTTTGGAATGGTTTTAGGCTCTCAAGAAGTTGCCCCAACCAGGCATAGTGACTCATGCCTGTGATCCCAGTGACTCAGCAAGCTGAGACAGGAGGATCCCAAGGCCAAGGCCATCATCCTCAGAAACTTAGCGAGGCTCTAAGCAACTTAGTGAGACCCCCATCTCAAAATTTTAAAAACTTAAATAGAAAGAGCTGGGGCTGTACCTCAGTGCGTAAGCACCGCTGGGTTAATTCCCAGGTACTGCTCCCCCCACCCTGCAAAAGAGTTGTTTCCCTAGTGATAGAGTCCCTGTGTCCCCTTCCCTGCTGGCTCCTGATAACACCCCACCTGTGAGCCATTTTTCTCCATCTTTTCAAGGTCTTTTCCCAGCACAGGAAGGTTTAGCTGCTGCTTCTGAGCCTGGGAAGGATGCACAGTCCTGTGATAACAATGCGTACACAGTGCTTCCCCAGTGCTGGCAGGAGCACTGGCTCAGTGCTCCCAGACACCGCACAGCCCCTGGAGGTTCCGAAGAAACTCCCACTCACCCCTTTTACAGAGGAAGGAACTGGGCCCACGGGGTGGCAAGATTCATGCCCAGGCTCTTAGCCAGCATGTTATGCCGCTTCCTTGGTCATTTGCGGCCAGGTGGACACTACGGGGCTAGTTTCCATGGGAGGATAGGTGAGTAAGGCTCTGCCCGCTCTTGGGGCAACCATCGGGCAGCAGGGAGGTTGAGATGCTGATGAATTCCCTTCTTTCCTGTAAGTAGGCTACTCAGTCCTGGCTCAAGCAGGGCGCTTGTGAGTGTAGAGGCAGAGGTCTGGTGGCTCTCACACCAGCTGTCAGGAGTGTGGAAGAGCATGATGGCAGACGGCCTATCTGGGCTGGGCAGTGTCCTGGGTGTTCAGAGCCAGCTGACAGGTCTGTGCACCTTTCCGAGGCATTTTCCCACACTCCACCCTTGGCGATGGTCCTGCAGGGTTGGTGCTCTTGTCGAAAGGCTTGATTCCAAATCAAATCAGTGTGTCCCAAATACTGTTACCACCTGCCTGCTCTTTAAAGGTCCACATGCTTCTGTGGTTGCAGCAGGGAAGCATGGCTGGAGAGAGGAGATCATGTCTCTCAGGCCTTGCCTCTGGCACTTCAAAAGCCCAGGGCACTGGAGTCCCCATGACCTTGGTAACTTGACCTCCCACATTGCATTGTGTAGATTCCAGCCAATGAAGTAAGGACAGAGTCCAATTCCCAGAGTTAACCCACCGCTGCCTTTACACAATGCTTCCGTAGTGCCTGAGCCCCGTCCTAAACTTACAGGTGAAGAAATGGCTTTAGAGAGGTGACAGTTCCTCACAGGCTCTCCACTTGGTATTTGGCATGGCCACAATGGGGTCCCATTTCTTGGGGAGGCCCCAGAGTACACATGCCCTTTGGTGGCCTGTGGACTTGGCTTCCCTCTTGATACTCTGCCACTAGCCAGCTCTGGAGTCTTCTATAGGTTCTCAGTTTCTTCAACTTTAATGGCCGTGGTCATATCCTTGCCTCAACAGGCCCTTGTGAAGTGGAGAACATGATTCTTAGGAAACGTACTGGCAGGGAGATGCCTCAGAACTGGGGGCTGTTAGTCCGCACCCAGGTTTCCATCTATTAGGAATGAATGTGGCTTCAGTTAGTGGAATAGGAAAGCAGTGTTGATGTAAATGAATGGTGGTTATCATTCTCATAGTAAGAAGTAAAGAGCAGGCAGTCGTGGGCTGGACGGGAGCTAAATGCACCATGCTCCTCTCTTTCATCCCCTTCTATCCTCCACAGCATGCTGGTTTGCCTCTTCGTGGTCTCAAAATGGCGGCTAAGTTACATCCCTCATGTCTGGGGAGAAGAAGAGCAGTAGTAATCACCTTTTCCTGTTTTATAAGATGAAGAACAACTTTTCCAGACCCCACCTCCAGCCACTGCAGATAACAGCTTTTGTTTCTGGCTTGGGCTATGTCTTCTGGCTCCCGAGGGGCTCAGAAAATGGGCGTTTAGCTTTTCAGAATCATTTGTACTGGTGGTATGGAAGAAGGCAGAAGAGTGGAGTAGATTCTGAGACAATTAGAATTGCCACAGTCCTTCCTACCTCTCACGTTATCATTTTTAAAAATATTTCATCAGCTGGGCGTGGTGGTGTACACCTGTCATCTCAGCTACTTGGGAGGCTAAGGCAGGAGCATCAAAGTTTGAGGCCAGCCTAGGCAACTTAGAAAGACTTGTCTCAAAAAAGAGAATGCACTGGGGACATAGCTTAGTAGTGAAGCACCCGGCCACAGGTGGGAGGGTCCCTGTCCTCGGTGTGCAGAGTCCTGTGTTTCAGACACAGCAGCGAAGCCTTTTCCAGGCTGATTTCCCTCTAGTCTCACAGAATATGCCACTTTAGGTGTATCTACTTTTTCTTAACTTTTTAATTGAAATTCAACATACATACACCAAGGTGCAGAAAGCTTTCCTAGGTAGTTGAAAGGATCTGTACTATTTATGTGCATAAAGCCGACTGAAGAGTAAGTAGTCTGCAGAGCAGCCCAGCAGCCCAGGAACCCCCTCTCCCTGCCAGTCCTCCTGCCCAAAGGCAGCCACTGTGCCCGTCTGTGTCACCATAGGTCAGTCTTGCCCATTCTTGAACTTCATCAAAATGGATCGTACATTTTTGCGTGCTCTTTGTGGGTCTGACTTTGGTCACTTGTCTGTGAGGTTCATGTATGTTATTGAGTGGGGTCGTGGGTCATGGGTCTCCTGCATTCTCCATGCTGACTCTGCATGGACCTAGGGTAAGTCGTGTCCTGAGAACCCAGGGAGAGTTTCCTGTTTCCAGCGTGGATTTTCTTCTCACAAACCACCCTTTGGTCTCACAGAGCGTGCCTGTGCACTGCTCGCTTAGCTCCCAGTCTACTTTAAAAGGAGACTCTGGGGCACTTTTGCCTTGGTGCTGTCGGCATAAAAGAATTTCCTTGAGCACATCTTCATTTGGAGAGGGTGGGGAGAGAGGGTGGGAGAGGAAGGCAGGCATTGGGGAAGGACATTTTTAGGCAAAGGAAAAACAGCCACTCAGGCGTCCTGGGGAACTGGAGCCTGGAGCCTGGAGCCTGGAGCCTGGAGCCTGCCTACAGCCTGCCTGGAGCAGAGCCGTCTGGTCTTGATCCCTCCCCTCCAGCAGCCTCCATTCAGAGCTGCAGGGCAGCCCCGCCTCTCTTGGAGCTGGGCAACCTGGTTCGAATTCAGGTTGACTCTTATTTTTTTTTCAGTACTGGAGATGGAACTCAGAAGTGCTCTACCACAGAGCCACATCCCCAACCCTTTTTATTTTTCATTTGAGACAAGGTCTTGCTAAGTTGCCCAGGCTGGCCTTGAACTGGCCTTGAGGCTATTCTTGCTTCAGCCTCTGGGAGGAGCTGGGCTGTGCATGTAGTCTTTGTGGTCTGACTTCTGTTACTTAGCTGACAGTGGCATGTGCCACCATGCCTGGCTCCAGGTTGACTCTCGAGAAGCCACCCTTCCCTGATTGTAGGTGATGAGCTCCCGTGAGAGCTGGGGTGGCTTTCTTCATGACACTGCTCCACCGCAGGGCGCACCTGGTGTGGGGAAGAGCTGCTGTGTGTTGGCCGTCTCAGGTGCGGTACAGGCACTCGCTGTCCCTACAGGTGTGCTGCAGATGCGCAGACTGCAGCTCTGTGGTGACTCGAGGGACCCATCCTCTTCGTCTTCCTTTTGTCATCTGCTGGTTTTGAGCCATGTGTCTTCCAGGATAATTTTCTGGAACATTCAGCTAAGACTCAATCAGAGAATCTTTGTGCTAAAGCAGTTACAATATTTTATTGAATTTATTGAGTAATCCCTGGCCCTTGCTAGAGACTTTGTAATATATTATTTCCACAGAACCTGGGAAGGAAGGTAGGATCATTTCATTTTACTGGTGAGTAAACAGGGGTTAGAGAATTTGAATAACCTGCTAGCAACTAACCGGTTGTAAGAAGGAGGCTGATTTTAAAAGTGGGACTTTTATATTCCAGAGGCCTTGTATCTTGTACCAAGTAAGCCTGCCTTTTTAAAATAACTTCCCATATTTCTGATGTGCCAGTCCTCTTCATCTCTTCCTGACCCCAGCCTCAAAACACCCCTCAGTATTTATCCAGTCAGTGACTGGGCTCAGAACAGCCGAGAGCTGCATGTGCCTTGTCACTAACTTGGAGTTTAGCTGGCTGCTGAAGCTTAACTCTAACATGGTGCACAAGTATTTATTAGATGTCCCAAAGGGCCTGTCATATTTCATTAAAGGAATTTAAAAAAAATATTTAAAACCAAGAGCACAGTGGTAAAGAGCCTGTTGGGTAATAAGTGATGCTGACCCGAGGCCTTGGCAAATCCAAACAAACCTGAGACTTCTGTTTGCCTCAGTTTCCTTCCTTGGCGAAATGAGGGGTTTAAGTGTGTGATTACTAATGTTTCCATCATTTCAAAAGCCAGGAACTTCTTTGACCTTTAAAAAGTTCTAAAATGGGTTCAGAATACAAATATTTCTTAAAGGAGCCTTAATTATTAAATACAGACCTAGAGAAGTGGATTAAACATTGAGACTTTCAAAAACAAATTTTAAAAATATATTTGAATATATATTTAAAATATATTTTAATTACCCAGTTCATCATTCCCACCAAGAAAGGGCATCTTCAATAATTCATATTGAAGCTTGGATTCTTTAAGGGTCTGGCACATTTTATCTTGGATAGGATGACATAAAATACTGCCAATAGCCAACCTCAAGTTGCCAACCTTAAATATAAGTCCCACCTTGTTCACTATTCAAATTTATAATATAAACTCTTTTAAATTATACCTGGTACTGAATTGAATTGAATTAAAACTCTTTTGAGCAACTCTGGAGATAGGAATAGGATGATTTTATTGTTTAATTAGTTACAGATGTGTTATACTTAAAGAAATTGTTACTGTTATCATTTTAGACCCAGTAAAGAGAAAACTGGCCAGGTGAGCGACTCGGGAGCATCTGTGGTCAAACATGGACTCAACCCTGAGAAGATCTTCATGCAGGTTCATTATCTAAAGGTGAGTGCAGCTAGTGGCTCAAGCCAGTTATTCTGGGGCAGCTTTATTTAGGTTATACAGTTGAATAATGATGATTAGTAACATGGTTGAGCAAAAGCAGAAAAATTATGAATGTTGTAATGCCGTCTGGTTGGGTAGCATCCGAATGTCCTCTAATTAAAGCACTTACTACCGCTGAACAAGGGGGCATGAATCAAAGGAAGCTGGGAGAGTCCCTGCCCCGGACCTCTTCTCCCTGGCTTCCAGTTAGCCTTGAAGAATAGAACCTTCCAGTTGCTCTCAGATTCCAACCAGAGGAGGAGCAGTAAGGAAAACTTCCAAGTTGGAAAGAACATGCTGGGAGCTGAGGTGGGGAGGAGCTGGACCTCTGCCCTTGCAGGTCACGAGGGACTCTCAGGTGCCACCTGAACCGAGTCAGAACAGACAGTGAAACGATGAGGAAGGAGTTGAGGACTCAGCAGTGCATCCTCCTGGTTAGAATATAAAGGGCGGCCTGGGACAGTGAGGTGGCACCTGCTAGGTGCACATGGGCTCCGGGGCTAAGTGACAGTGGCCGTTTTGTGAAGGGCCCATCACGGACATCTTGTTTTCTCTCTTCTTTCTTTCTTGTAGGGCTACTTTCTTCTTCGGTTCCTTGCCAAAAGACTTGGAAATGAAACCTATTTTTCATTTTTAAGAAAATTTGTACACACGTTTCATGGACAGTTGATTCTCTCCCAGGTAATTGACGGGTTCTTGGGAGCTCATGATATGCAACTGAAGGGGATGCGGCATGTGGAGATTGGATTATGCCAGCATTCAAAGAGGAAAAGGATTGACTATTTCATTCAGGGTGGAAATTATGAACAAAGTGGACACAAGGAAGGTGTTCTCGGGGAGGGTGAGCTCCTTGCAACTGGGGGACAGACCCCCCCGAAGCCGTCTGAGCACAGTGATGCAAATGACTGTACCCTGAGTGATCTTAACAACAAAACAAGCATTCCTTCTTCCTGGAGTCGTCTTTGCGGGGTTCATTATCTAAATCTTACCCTTCAGTCTGCACTTGATGCCAGGACTTCAGAGCCACCCTAGCTGAGCAGATGTGCATCAGCCCGCTTCTCTTTTGTTGCCCTTAATGTCATTCCCATTATCTGTATTGTATTTTCATGATAGCACTGTCTCTTGTCTATTCCTTCTCTTTATGTATGAGCTAATGTAGGCCAACATGTATTTAGTACAGTCTGGCACACAGTAGGTATGCTGTAAATCTTTAATAAACAGATTAAAAGGAAGACACCCTGAAACATCAGACAGCCTGGCCCCAAGACAGTTGGAAAGAGACCCTGTCCACTCCCGTGGGTGTGGGGTGAGCGGTACCTGGCAAGGAAGCTAACAGTGAGAGCTCTGAAAACAGTGCTCATGTTGGCAGGGGTTGGACAGAGGGTGTCTTAGATCATTGTGTTCAGACACGGCTGTGTGTCACATCGTCCGCAACATGAGAAGGAAAGGGTGTGTGACTATAACCTGACACACCGAGGAGAGCAAGACTGATATCCAAGCCCTGTGCTCTTTTAATCTTTTTGGTGTCTTGAGGAGGCGGTTCTCCCGTAGTTAGGAAGGCAGTTCAAAGCAGATTTAGACTCCTCGCGTGCTTGGTTGGCTCTGATGGGTCCAGGTCCTGCCGCTTCAGCCATTTCTCACCAAGATGCTCCCACCGTGTGTGGGACTTCCTGTGACCACTGAGGTTCTGGCTTCATTTCCCATGAACTCCTGCTGCTCTATCAACCAGCTCATTCAGTTTTTCTTTTATCTCTTTTGAATAACTTTGTTTTTCCATAACAACTTCATTGAGATGAAATTCACATGCCATAAAATTTACCCTTTAGAAATGTGCAAGCTTGTGATTGTGCAGCCCTCAGCATGATCTGATTTTAGAACATTTTCATCAGCCCCGAAAGAAATCATCAGCACTCGCTTCCCCGTGCACCCTTCCTGCCGACACTATCTGCTCTGTCTCTGGGGATTGGTCTCTTCTGGACATTTCATAGAAATGAACCACGTGGTCTTGCGTGTCTGACTTTAGTTCATGCGGCATGTTTTCAGGGGTTGTGTAGCATGTACCAGGACATCACTCCTGTTTCGTTTTGTTTGTGTTCTTTTTTTGAGATGGGGCCTTACTCTGTGGTTCAGGCTGGTTTTGAACTCCTGGAATCAAGTGATCCCTCCTGCCTCTGCCTTCCAAGAAGTTGCCTAGTTTTGATTGTGTTAATTGTGGTAACGTACATAAAACTTATCATTTTAGCCATTGTAAGTGAATGATTCAGTGGAATTAAGTGCATTCACTTTTTTTTCCCCAGTGATCACCATCATCCCTCTCCATCTTCATCTTCCCAAACTGAAGCTCTGAACCCATTGAACAGTGCCTCCCTGCTCTTCCCAGCCCCAGGCTCTGGCAACCACCATTCTTTTTTCTGTTTCTATGAATTTGATTACTGTAGGTGCTTCATGTAAGAAGAACTAACCATCAGGTGTCCTTGGTGTCTGGCTTACTCACCTAGCGTCATGTCTTCAGGGCCACCTACATTGTAGCAGGCAGAACTTCCTCTCAGTTCTTTGGAGCATATACACAGAAGTGGGATTGGTGGACCACGTGGTAGTTCTATGTTTGGGTTTTTGAGGAGCTGCTAGATTATTTCCACAGAGACTAGGGCGTTTTACATTCCACCTGCTGAGGGTTCTGGTTTCTCCACGCTTGTCAATGCTGGTTGCCTTCCGTCTTTTGATAATGGTTCTGAAATTATATCTTCCCTATGGGTCTGAAATTATCTCCCGATAGCTTTGATCTGCGTTTCTCTCATGGCTTAATGATGTCGAGCGTTCTTTATGTGTTTATCGACCACTCATGTATCTATTTTGGAAAAATGTCGGTTCATATCCTTTGACCATTCCTTATTTGGGTTGCCTTTTATTATTGAGTTATAAGAATAGTTCATATGTGCTGAACAGAAGTCCCTTATCAGATATGATTTGCAAACGTTTTCTGTTTTTTTTTTAAATATTTACATTTTTAGTTTTAGGTAGACACAATATCTTTATTTTATTTTTATATGGTACTAAGGATTGAACCCAGAGCCTCATGTATGTCCCGTGAACACTCTATCACTGAGCCACAACCCCAGCCCCAGTATTTTCTGTTTTTATGCATTGTATTTTTGCTTTCTTGATAGTGTTCTTTACAGCAAAGAGTTTTTAATTTTGATAAGTCAAATTTTCTATTTTCTATTTGATTTCTTGGGTTTTGGGTGTGTTGTATCTAAGAAACTACTGTTTGATTGAAGTTTTGAAGATCTACTTCTGTTTTCTTCTAAGTTTCATGGTTTTAGCTCTTATGTTTAGGGCTCTGATTTTTGTATAAGTTGTGAAGATGATGTCCAACTTCATTGTTTTGCATGTATCTAGTTGTCCCCTACCATTTCATGAAAAGGCCATCCTTTCCCTCCATTGAATTATCTTAGAACCTTTGCAAAAACCATTTGACCGTTAATGTAAGGGTTTGTTTCTGTACTCTAATTCAATTCCACTTATCACTATTTCTGTCTTCATGCCAGTACCACAGTGCCTTAATTACCGTATCTTTGTATTAAATTTGGAAATACTGCTTTTACAACATACTCACTATAGAAATTCAAGCAATACAGAAAGGTACAAAGGAGATCAGTCATCATTCAAATTCCCACCACCCAGAAATGCCTACAATTGATATTGCGTTACTACCATTTTAGAAACCACACTATTTCTCTCTCTATATGCTCTATGTGAGATATGTATACACCTTGAAGATTGTATGTGTGTGTGTGTATATATATATATATATATATATATATATATATATAATATGTTTATGTACACATGGATAGGAATTGTTCAAAATAATTTTATAACAGTAGGAATATATATGTATATGTATGCATATGTATGGATATTTCCCCACCCAGTACTGGGGATAAACCCAGGGCCTCACCCACACTAGGCAAGCATTCTACCACTGTGTTACATCCCTAGCCCCTGTATATATTTTTTAATGAACTGTTTCAAATTTCTTTCTCTAAAACTTGGTAAATGAAAAAGAAACTAAAGGGAAGGTAAAGAACTTTCTAAACTTCAGATTAATGTAAGAGAGATCATTTCCTCAAAGATTCGTCTATGGTTAAGAAATATTACTACAGAAAAAATTTGTTAAAAGGTTGAAATTGTTATTTTCCCCTTACGTATTTCATCTTATGGAGCATCAGCTTATTCACTACTATGAAAGTTAAGGAAATCAGCAGTTATAAACTTCCACTACTTCTCCTAGTTCTAAATTTTTCTTAATTATTATTATAGAGTGAGGTTTATAGTTCATTCACAGTATACACTGTAACCATGCTTTTCACAGTTGTGTAGCTTTTGGTTTATTTGGTTATGAGAGAGTATCTTACTAAGATGGTCAGGCTAGCCTAGGACTTGTGATCCTCCTGCCTCAGCCTCCCAAGTTGCGGGGAATACAGGCAGGCACCACTGTGCACAGCCAATTATATAGTTTCAGCTCTGTGAATAAAGGATTTCAGTGTTTGTCACCAGTCATTTTACTGTGCTTCTATATTCATGAATATTTTATTTTGATTCAACTCTTTGTTGGCCAAATTTCAATAATAACTTAGTGTTCAAATTGCCATCTCCCAGGCTGTGTGACTTCTGAGTTCTTCCTGCTTGAGGATGCTTGCGTGTTGGCTATATTTGAATTACAAACTGGTTTCATATTCTGGGACACATTTCCATTCTGCAGAACTTCAGGCATTGCTCCACTGCCTTCTGGTATTAATGCTGTAGAAACCATTGAAATTAACCTACTTTTCTCCTTTTAGACCACTTAGATGGCAGAAGAACTCATTATCTTTGAAGTTTAGTAATTTATTGAGAAAATAGGTTGGTGCCCATGGTTTTGGGTTGTTCCCCTTCCCTCCACCCACCAAAAACAGCTACATTTTTAAACCATAGTTCTATCCTTTATTGAAATTGTCTTAGTTTTATCTCTGAATGTGATTGTCCGCCTACAGGTTCTGAATTTCAGACTTGCCAGTTATCCCTGTGTCGTGTCTTCTTTGTCCTCCATGCCTATTATTTATGAATTGCTTCTTATCTTTCTCTTCTTGACAGCCTGGGCTCCTATCAAGCTGCCCCTTTTATTATTAGCACTGTCTTCTCGAGTGCTGTTCTTTTCATCGCCATTCCTACTTCATTAATGTCTCATACTGATGGGATTTGGGTCCTTAATTTGTTTCCTTTGTTTTGGAACCTCTCTTTTCTTCACCCTTTGTTGTTTTGTCATCTTTCTGCTTTCATTTTACTGAGCTTATTTTGTGTTTTTGTTAATATATTTTATAGTGTCAAGCATTCGTGGAACATTTTCTTCTTTTCCTTGGGCCATGTTTTCGTGAAGCCTGGATTCTTGGTCTCTTAGGTGTGTTGCTTCTGTCTGTCTCTTTGGTGGATTGTCATGTTAGTTCACACAGTTGCAGGACCTTTCCTGTGAATTCTCATATATAGGGAACATGAATCTTGCCTCCTTTCCCCACTCTTCTTGGGCTTGCTTTTCTTCCCCTCTGAGCTGCAGTTTGAGCATCAGCCTCTGTGCGTGGAGGAGGGCGGAGGCGGACTCTGCTGTGGCCCTAGCCAGCCTTTGTTGGAGAACTGGCCCTGTGTCTCCTGCAGATGTATTAAGTGTCCCCTTGCCAAGAGTCTCGTGACCTGATAGGGCATAGCCTTTCCCACCGCAGGCTTCTCTGGGTGATGCTTGTTCCTCGGCTCCATTGGAGCTTCGAGCTCCGCTGCTCATCAGAGTCCTCCACAGAGGCTGGCGTCCCACGTTTTGCTCCTCTCTCCAGCATGCATTTCCAGTCCCTCCACAGTCAAAAGAGAGGAAAGGTGAAGTTATTCCTGCTTCTTTCCAAATGTGGTATTAACGCTGGTGAAGTCTGCCAGGTGTGGTCAGCTCAGCGCTGCGCAGCGCAGTGGGAGGCTGCAGGAGGGGCAGAGGGAGAGTGGGCGGTGGGGCCAGAGCCCTAGCTCCTGCCTTCCTGGCATTTGGAGCCCATGCCGGGAGCTTGTACTATTTTCTTTGTTGGGATGCTGCTGATCCTCTATTTGCTATTTTCAGAAGTTTCCTTTTTTTCTGTGTGTGTGTGTGTGTGTGTGTGTGTATTAGACAGGGTCTTGCTACTTGCCCCTGGCAGGTCTCAAACTCCTGAACTCACATAATCCTCCTGCCTCAGCATTCAGAGTGCTAGGACTACAGGTGCATGCCACCACACCACGCTTTTTTTTTCTTTTTAGTTATACATGGCAGTAGATTATATTTTGACGTATCAAACATATACGGAGTACAACTTGTCATTCTTATGGTCATACATGATGTGGAGTTACACTGGTCGTGTATTCATATATGAACATAGGAAAGTGATGTCCCGTTCATTCAACTGTCTTTCCCATTCCCGTTCCCCATCCCTTTCCCCCATTCCCCCCACATTCAATCCATTGAACCCACACACCACCACCCCCATGCCAGTTATGAGTCAGCAGCATCCTCATATCAGAGAGAATTTTTGGCCTTTGTTTTGTTTGGGACTGGCTTATTTTACTTAGCATGATAATATCTAGTTCTATCCATTTACCAGCAAATATCATAGTTTCATTCTTCTTTATGGCTGAGTAATATTCCATTGTGTATATATATACCACATTTTCTTTATCCACTCATCTGTTGAAGGGCACTTAGCTGCTATTGTGAATTGAGCTACTGTGAATATGGATGCAGCTGCATCACTATAGATGCCAAGCTTTTCAAATACATATTTTTAATGGATTGCATCTTAACTTACATTGCTTGTTAATTATTGATAAGGAAGAATTGTGATCCAGTTTCCTTATGCAGAAGCCCCTCAGTTTCTTCCTCTTTTGCCTTACTTCTTCCTTTCCCTTCTATGCCCCGCACCTGCCAGCATTTCAGTTTGGCCACCCTTCTAGCTGCCACTGAATCCCTCGTAAGCATGACAGTGACTGATTCCTCTCAATCTTGTTTCTTCTCTGACTCTGCCGGTCCTATCCTTGCTTCAGCATTTTGATTATTTGCTTTGCCTCTCTTGCCCACCCATGACCATAGTGATCATTCATAAAACATTGATAGGGGTTATTAATCCTGTGTACTTGTCAAGCCAGTGTCAGTTTTTCCAGTAGAATCTATATGCGCCTGCTTTTTATTGAATACTTTCACCAGAACTAAAAAATAATTACCAAATTAGCCGTGTGCCAAAATCAGTGTTAGTTTTCTAAAAATTATAATGCTTAATTTAGTGTTGTGAGGTGTTAATCAAAACAAGCTGTCTGGGACTTATAGATTATAGGGAGAGCAGGGCTTGGAAACCAAAATCTCAAGGAATGTGTTATTTCTAACTGTGGCCTGGGCTTGGAACCATTGCCAGGGACTCAGATTCAATTTCAACCCATGTCCCTCTCCAGTGACAGAGGTGTTTATTCTCAGGCGTGCTGCAGAGGTGACCCTCTGGGACCCCCCATTTGTTGCTAACTGACTTGCCTTGGTGGTGCTAGAATGAGCCAGGAGGGACAGCCCTCCTTGTCCAATTAGATCTCGAAGTTGCTTTCAGAAAACTGCCAGCCGCTGAAGGAAAGAGTGGGGAGAGATGAAAGAACTGAAGAGAAGCAGCAAGGGGAAATCAATCTTAAGAGGCATAATTCTGTTTATTTCCTGGTGTTTTGGTGAAAGAAGAGTCTACTCCAGGGTGTACGCAGTTTTACAAGAGGAAGCAGAAAAACCAGTGTTTTGTGTTTAAATTTTGGGTCTTGGAAGGAGTAAGAAGGGCTGGCTGGGCCGATTCTGTGGACAGATGCACAGGTCTGCCTACCTGAGAAACGAGAGCCTTGTAGAGCCATGGGCCTGCCTGCAGGATGGAGGACCATCCAGCTCTGCAGCCAGGACGTTCCCACAGATGCCAGGGGGTGGGTGTGTGACCCTGGCAGTCACTGGCAGCCTCCGGCCAGCTGCTGTGTTACCTGCAAACCTCACCTTGGAGGCAGGAAGCGGCAGATTCTCTAGAATGGTGACCTGCCAGGAGCAGGAAAACCATCTTTCTTTAAAAGTGGAGCAGGGCTTCCAGGGAACGTCCTGTGTTCCCACGGAATTCAGGATTGTTGCACTTCACATTCCTGCACAGACAGGACCCAGCTATAATTGGAAAATGCAAAAGGGCAGAACTAAGGTTAACTCTGAAAATTTCCTGCTTCTCATGCAATTAAATTCTCCCCCTTGTTAAGTTAATGGAATTTTTCCCACATAATTGAGTATAAATTACCAGGCAAATATGGGGTAAGTGGGTGTGGGCTATAGGAGATGATGACATCATTAGTAAAAAGTTATCATTGCAGTATTTGGATTTTTAAGAATCAAAAATCCTGCCAACGGCTGGGGTTGTAGCTCAGTGGTAGAACGCTTGCCTTGCACGTGTGAGGCCCTGGGTCTCATTAATTTCTAATTGGATGCTTTACAAAATAATTTTTTAAATGATAAAAATAATCACTTTTAGGACTTTGAGCAAAACAGATTTTTGCATACCAAATCCTGCTCTTGTTTCGCTTGGCATTCTTCTCCAAATATCCCTGGTAGGTGCCTTTGTAAGGCATTAATTAATTTGGAATTCTCCTATCCCCCTTCATTTTTATGACATGATCCGTACTTTAAATATTTTGTGTTATTTTCTCCAAGTGAAGGAGCAATAGAAAAGTAAAGTCTTAGAAGAGAACAGAGCTTGCAAGGAATAAATCTTTTTTTAGTACCTTTCTAAGGAGACCTTGCTTCTGATAGAAGTGGACTGTGACCACCTAGGAACGTGTACAGGTGGGACAGCTGGCTGTCCAGTGTAGCCGTGACTGCACTTCAGTGTGGGATCAGGAAAAGAACTCCTCACCCTGCAAACTGCAGGTTTCTCCGGCCCTGCGAGTCCTTCTGTTTCCTGGTGGGGAGAGCAGCAGCACAGTCAGAGCATTGGGTGGACTTTGGTCAGGAGGCACTCTCATTTGCCACATGCATAGTGGGTCACCTGGACTGACTCTTTCAAGGACCCATTTAAAAAGATTATTTTCTATTTGTTAAAAACTCCTAGTGTAGCTCTTCTTTGTTGTTCAGTATTATCAGGTTTCCAGAAAGTTAACTATTGTTCTTTGTTTCATGTTTATAGTTCTCTAAAATGTATCAGATGATGAAAGTGGACACTAGGGTTGACCACACAGGAAATAAAAGTACAGAATAGAAAAATATAGCCAAATTTGAATTTCAGTAAATATATTGTTTTGCATATCTATTTCAGTAAATATATTTTCAGTAAATATATATTTCAGTAAATATAATTTCAGTAAATATATTGTTTTGCATATCTATGCCCCCAGTTTAACTGGGCATTCTGTATCTTATCTAACACCACCAATCAAGATTAAATCAAATTCTAAGAGAGATGGGCTGAGAAGTTGGGTTACAGTACACAAGGTACAAATTAAATATAAACAATCGTTCATATTTGAATTGTGTAGGCCTTATGTTTTAAAAGAGTCCTTAACTTTGGGAGATATTTAGTAGAACATATGTTGGTAAAATTATGTAATATTTGGGATTTGCTTATAAATGCAGGAGGCAGGGAATTCAGGGGGCAGGACTGGCTGTGGGTTGGTGAATGTGAAGGCTACTTATCCTATTCTGCATACTTTTTTATTGTGTTTGAAATTTTCACATAAAAAAAAAATGAGACAGAGAGAGATAGTCATGAGTCTTGCCTTAGGTTAAGGAATTCTATCATGTAAGCATCTCAGATGTCCAGCAACTGAGGTTTGTGCAGTGATAGGAGAAGAGGCTGTGGATGGAAACAAGAGCTTCTCCAGCGTGTTCAGAGTTATGGACATCTTTGTTCCTTGATCGACATGTTTATCAACTTGATTTTTGTTATCTTTCCTTGGAACAATGCAGGCGAGTTGCAAGTGAGTTTCCAGCCTCTGCAAGCGTAGGTTGTTCACGGGTTATCCAGGAAAGCTCCCGAGGAGAGGACATGGGTGAGTGAGTAGGGAGGGAGGACACTCGATACCCTGGCAGCTTTTGAAAGCATTAAACACCAAATAAACTGTCGGGGGTAGGTCAGAATAACAAGCATTATGTTTTTCAACTCGTTTATGGTTTTTAAAAAACTAATCTCTCTAAGTGACTGGACTGAAGTGCTGGGAAGTCAGTAAATTGAGTATACGGTCTGATAAGTTGCCTAGTCTTGCTGGGCTAGCAGGTGAGCTGTCAGCAGCTGGGAAGGCTCAGTCTCTGGCATGGTTCTGGCAGTTACTTACTGATGGACATCTTTAATGGTTTGCTTTTTTCTTATTCCAGGATTTCCTTCAAATGCTGCTGGAGAGGATCCCAGAAGAAAAAAGGTAAGGTCCAACTTAGGAATTAAGAGCCCAGTTTTACTTTTACTGTTAAGAATGACCCTACCATTGTTTGGCTTGTTACTTCCTAGAAGTTCGATTTTCCTCTCTTACCAAGGCCCTGGCTCAGCCAGTGGAGTCACTGGATAGATAATCATACTTTGGGATAGGCCCAAGTGGACAGTGGAGGCCAGTGTGTACACCTGAGATTCCCAGAGTCGGGGTCCCAAAAGTGTTTTAGGAGGCAAACAAAGACAATCTGTGGTCTCAACTGCTGTAGAAAAGAACAGTGGAGAAGAAAGTTTTGAAAATGGGGGTGCCTCCAGTAACGTGGCCTACTAAAGGGGACACTTGAGTTGGAGGTGAGTGGTGAAGTCAGGCCCTGGTAGGTTCTAAACCAGGTCTGCTGCTTCCTCCTGTGAAGCTTAGAGTGGGTCACGTCATTCCCTCCACGTTTATTCTCCACCTTCACTGCTGAGGTTAGGATTAGACCGCTGAGGCTTGTCAGTGACCAACGTAGTCACCATATCCTCGCTTTAAGAGCATCCAGAGGCGGTGTGTACAGAGACCATTCGACCCTTGGCACTCTTCACTGACATCACCATCCAGGGATTGTGAGGAGCCAGCATTTATTGGGAGTTTATTTCATGAAGATAGCCATTTAATCCTCAAAACAACACTCTTTGGTAATTGTATATTTATCCCAATTTTACCAAGAAGAGGACAGGGTACCAAGCCTGAATTTCATGGCAGTATGTGGCAGGGCTGGGATCTGAGCCCAAGCGTCTGGCTCTAGAGTCTGTCCTCATACCCACTATATTGCCAGTGGGGAAACTGGGGCTCCGGAATGGAGTGGCTTTTCCACACTCCCTTAGCAGGCGAGATAGCACAGCCTGGAGCTGGGTCTGTGTCATTCTCACTCCCTCTCCTCTGTGTGCTGCTCAGTACGAGCCCACTGTCCTGAAGGGAGGAGATTCTCATCCTTGCAAGTGTTCAGTTATAGGCTGCCAACCTCCCACGGGGAGGAGGTTGTAGAGGAGGTTTCAGACCCATGTTTTAGGTAGACTATATTCATTCCAATTTTTACTTCTTATATTTTTTATCTCAACTTGGACCCTGCAAGTAAATACCCTGAAACTGTTTCCAGTAGCAAGATTGATATTCAGACGTCTTGAGAAATTAAGTATCTCTTTAAAAGAGCTGACATTACTCTCCTCCTTTCTGACCTGCAGATTTAACTGTGTTTTTATGCACATAACAGATTTCCAATTGTGGAAATGAATTCTTTAACACAGATGAGTCAGATTCATGCAGGACCAGTCACCTACATGTTGATGAGCTGCTTTTACATGCTTTCTAAATTGGGTGTCTCAGGGTAAGGTGTCTGGGCTTATGCTGTCAGACTGGGTGCAGGCAATGACATGAAAATTCAGGAGAGGACCCAGGCCCATGCGGATGTGGAGATTTTTTTCCAAATATTGGATTTTTGCCTGGCCTATTTTTGTTTAAACTCCCCCTTATTCCAACTTCTGTTAAGGAAGACTCCAGACTCATTCCTCAGCAGGTGAAAGGGTTATTATGAGTCCTTTTCTTTTTTTAATACAGTAGAAACACACATAAAGGAAGCCAGTGCACCACAGAGTTAACGTGTCCGTCCTATTTGGTGACCGACCTCCTTGTCTCTGCAGCTCCATTGCAGCTGGTGGAGCTTGCAGGAGGCCTTAGTCATTGGCCAAGACACTCACCGGCTCAGGATGCTGCTGGAGATCCATGCCTTATTTTGGAAGGTCTTAAATGTTTCAGATTTGCCATCCTTTTTTTTTAAGTAGACATATGGGCTTTTCTTCATGCAAAAATCACATCAGATGTGGCCAGTATTCTTAAGATCAAGAATAACCTGCAAAATGTATATCCTCCTCTCCCCCATTTTTTTTTTGTACCTACCCCAAAATAACTTTTTCAGGCCCTATAATAGAATGGAGCACTTTTCTTTAAAAAGGAAAAGAAAAGAAAATTCACAGGCATGGTGTCTTACCTCCTTGGGCTGTTACCAGACTCTGTTCTGTGTGATAACCACACATTCTTTCAGAACTTCTTAGAGCATAAATATAGCAATTTTCACTGAAGCAGCAAAGTGCATTTTTAGTTTGGGAGGTCTCTCTTTTAATCTTCTTCATAATAAGGTTATGGAGTTCATTTGGATGGCCCCTGAGCCCTCTGGCTCTGGGACCTGGATTTTATCTTGTGAATATTTATTGAGTCAACACATGGGGCCCACAAAGAGATTTTGGTTGTAATTGTGGAAGTTAAGAGCAGTGTCCCTGTCTCAATGTGGCCGCCGACCACATGGCCTTTGCTGGGCTACCTCTCCCACTTTTGTGTTTTCCCTAGCATGTTTAGGCCTCTTTCTAAAAACTCTCCTTAAAAGTTAAGGTGATTTCATTTTTACCATGAATCTACTTTAGCCAGTGTGCTGGAATATATTTTTAAGACTTAAACATCATTTTGCTTGCTAACTAATCTCAGAATCTAGTTCAGCTATTAAAACTGACTGTTTATCCTATTACCTATGCAACATATTGTACCAATTTTATCTAGGTCTCCAAAGGCCCCACACCTACCCCCTGGAGCCTCTAATCTTTGGCTCCGGTTGCAAACTGATCCTTGTGCACATCTGTTAGGCACGTGAGCTGCTCTGAACAGAACAAGGCTTTTCAGCTCGGACTAGTCAGCTAGTGTCTCTGTGTCACAGCCCTGTGTTGTTCTCTTGCTTCCATTTATTTAACATTCTCTATTGAGTGTCTCTCATCCCAGGTTTTAGGCGGGATGCTGGGAAACGGAGAAGAACAAATCCCAGGCCCAGCCCCCAGGAAGCTCGTAGCCAATTACAGGGGCAAAACAGGCCATTAGGAGCAGTGCAGGCTGTGAGGTTCTGGGTCCTGAGGGCGCAGAGAAAGGTCTCCCCTGTCCTAGCCTCAAGCTGCAGGCAGAGGCCCCCTGAGGCTGTCAGTGGAGGAGTGCCATCCGCAGGTTGGAAGACACCCTGGGAAGGCAGTGTGGAGGGTAGATTAGACACCAGGAGATCTTGAGATGGAGAAGTAACGGCCGAGGTGGTGACGGTGGCAGTGGTGTTGAACATAATAAACAGACGTGAGGAATATTTGAGGGGTGCCATCCATGCAACCTGGTTGGTTAGTTGTGAGGATTGAATAGAGGAGTCAAGCATGAGCCCGACCTTTCTTGATCACTAAGTTCCACCACGAAGTGACTTTGTACAGATAGTGGGGCAGCTGTTAGGATTCTACACCCTGGAATCAGCATGGAGCAGAGGGTGTGGAAGGGCAGAGAATTTGAAGGTGGCAGTGAGGGGATAAGGTGAGAAAAACCAGGAATGCTCAGAGGGAGATCCAAATGCTAGGTGCCATTCTCCCTGGCAGGGGAGCACCCTGGGGAGTCGTTGCCCAATGTTCCTGGCCACCTGGTGTTCCTGTGTCGTCAGCGGCTGCCAGTGCTCTCTTTGCCCATCAGTCATTGTGTGTATGTGTGTGGGGGGGTGTTGATCTAGTACACCCACCCTCACCCAGAGCTAGGGAGCACTCTTGCTGTAAATGTCTCATCGGCAGTCATGGCGTGCCCAAGCACAACCGCCTTGTTTTCATCAAGAAAATAAGCAACCGTGTGCAAAAGCTCTGAGACGCACACTATTTGCAACCATTGTGTATAGAGGGGACTTAAAATGTAGATGACTGAAACCTTAAAATCCATGTAGGGTGTGGGTTGCGTCTTAGCACTAGGTCCTGTCCCATTTCAGGCCCGAGCTCCAAAGCCCTGCACTTTCAGAGTCGCTTCCGTGGGTCTTGGAGTGCTTGCGAAAGTGGCCAGGGCTCTGTGCTTCCCTGAAGAGATGCTGGCAGAATGGGATGTTTATTTTTATTTTTTACTTTTTTGGTACTGGGGATTAAACCCAGGGGTGCTTTACCACTGAGTCACATCCCCAGCCTTTTTACTCTTTATTTTGAGACAGGGTCTCACTGCGTTGCTTGGGGCTTCGCTAAATTTTGAGCTTGCAATCCTTCTGAGTCAGCCTCCCCAACTGCTGACGTCATTAGTAAAAAGTTATCATTGCAGTATTTGGATTTTTAAGAATCAAAAGTCCTGCCAAGGGCTGGGGTTGTAGCTCAGTGGTAGAGCGCTTGCCTTATTATAGGTGTGGGGCACCACACCGGGCAGAATGTGATCTTTAGGATCTCAGGAGGTTGAAGGCAGGAGCCAGGAGTGAAAAAGGCACTTCACTTGCTCAGCAGCAGGTTGACAGTCACATGTAGCAGATGTGCCTAATAATCAGCTCCCCATCCTTGTCACCCCAGCCTCAGAACTCAACTGAGCCAGCTCATACGGGCATGTGCAGTACCATTTTCAGGCAAGCCGATGTTTATTTCTGTTTACTTTAACATCATGAAGAGAACAACTGGACACTCTGTGTGCTTTAAACACAGCTTATTTTTCTAACCAGGATCCTGCCAGGATGGCTAGCATATCCTCTCCCCCGCTGTGTTAACTAAGTGTGATGCATTGGTAGCCCCAAGGGATTGGTGGTCAGACCTTGAGACTCAGAGTTGCCCCCTAGGATGTGGGAGTACAGCAGGGAGCCAGCCAGCCAGCAGGCAAAACCACCTGCAGCTCCAGATACCCTGGAGGCCCAGGAGCGGGTGTGGCCGGTCTCAGGCTGCAGTGGGAAGTGCTGATGGAGGACTGGCCGTCTGGGGTCTGCGTACTTCTAGCTATCTGTGTAAAATCAATTTCCATAGTGATCAGACATGCAGAAGAGTAATTTCCTGTAAGTCCTGGGTCCTGGCGAGGTGGAAATGCTTCTGCTCCTCTATTGTGATTATCTAAGCCACATGATCTCAGAGGGAAAGACTTTACCCTTGGCCTGGACTCCAAATGTCCAGAAGTGTAGAAGTCGATTTTTGACCTCAGCACTGCTGTCTACAAGCCGACTTAAGTACTCTCAGCAGTTCTTGCCAGTTCCCGAGGAGGTTAGGCCACTTACACAGCCTTTCCATAGGGCTGTGGTTTTAAGCAGCAGGAGTGAATGCTTACCCCACCTTAGCAGCCCCAGGTGAGCTTGGTGCTGGGGCTGCCTGCCCCAAGCCTGTGAGCTGAGGAGCCTGTCGCTGCTGACTCTCTCCAGAATCCTCCTGTGCTGCCTGTGCTTCTCCATCTGCTTGGGAAACACCACACAACAATGGACGGCACTTCTCAGGGATGTTATGAGGAGGGACGTGATGCTGGGTGTAAGATGCTTCACAGCTTCCCAAAAGAAAGTGATCTGAGCAAACATACCCTCTTCATCAGGGGCAGCACTCCTGCCCTCCCACTGCCCTTCCATGGCTCTCTCCCCTCTCCTAAACGGTAGTAGGAGGACTGGCACCAGCACAGCTACCGCAGGAGCACGACAGGGAGAAGCTGGGGTGCTGGGAGTGGCGGTGGCTCTGCTCTCCTGCAGGATTGTCTGCCTACACAGGACCGGCTCATTCTGAGGCCTAAGTTTAGAGCAGAAGGAGTTGCCAGGGCTTCACAGGCAGCCTAGGTTTGAATCCCGGCCGGGCAGATGCTACCTGCATGCCCTTGGACATGTTCCCTAACCTCTCAGAACCTGTATTTGGTCAGCTTTAATATGGAAACGGAATTGTTGGTCTTGCAGTTATTGGAAGTTTAGATGAAGTTTGTCTGGTGCGCAGTAGATGTTCAGTAAATAGTAGCTGCTACTTCTGTGCCTTTATGTGGAAGTGGAATATAATTCCTTCTAATCCGTCCCAAGTACTTTCCTTTGCCCTCCCTTCCATCATACCCCTGTTCCCTTTTTTCTACTCTATTTATTTATAATTTCTTCTATTTATTTGTAGTTTTTTTTTTTTAATTAGTGCCTTGTGGATATGCATAAAGGTGTGATTCACTGTGGTATACTCCTGTCCCTAATAGGAAAGTTAGGTCAGATTCATTCTACCATTCTTCCCTTTTCCTGTCCCTCCTTCCTCCCCATCATCCTCCTTCCTCTACTGCAGATGTATCCACCCCACCCAAGAAACATTCCACCCTTGGCTTTCTGAGTTTGGCTTATCTCATTTAGCATGATGTTCTCCAATTCCATCCATTTACCAGCAAATGCCATAATTTCATCCGTCTTTATGGCTGAGTAAAACCTCATTGTGTATATGCACCACCTTATCTTTATCATTCGTCTGTTGATGGGCACCTAAATTGGTTCCCCAGCTTGGCTGCTGTAAACATCGATGTGCCCTGTAGCGTGCTGATTTAAATCTTTTGGATTTAGCTGAGGAGTGGAATAGTGGGGTCATATGGTGGTCTCATCCCTAGTTTTTGAGGATGTAGAGGAGTTTTTGTTGGCTTTGTTTTTAGTGCTGCTACGTAACAATGTCTGAATGTGCACAAGCACCAGATACGGGAAAGTGGAATTCTCCTTAGCACTCATCAATGAACAGAACCTCAGAGGTGACAGGACCAAGGCATGGACAGATTGTGGAGGGTCATCCTGCAGAGATGGATGGGGCCCAGGATGCCACCTGCCACTCTACCCCGACACACCACATCACTTCACCTCTCCCTGCCTCCAGCCTCTTCTCCCTCAAGTACTCTTCCTTGTTTCCCTGCTCTCCTGTCATTCATTCTACAGCCACTTCACAGCCTCCGTGGCAGGCCCAGGGCTCAGCCGCGGGGCCTCCAGAGTCCTCACAGGACACCCTGATTCATTTCTGCCTGAGCTGGGCTGAGTGGAACTTGGCCCTCCCTGTCTGTGCATCCCTTCCCTTCCTGCCCTGGGCAGGACAGACAGCACTGCCTCCCACCAGGACATACTTCCGGCACTGTCGCCTTTCAGAATCTCTGCGGTGCTCCTCCCACCGTCCTCCTTCCCTGTCCCACAGAGGCAGGTGGACCCTTTCCACAGCAGTTGAGCCCCAGCTTTGCAAGAACTGCTGGCATGCAGACGGGTGTCTGTCACATGTCTCTCAGTCACTTGCTGGGTTTTCCATCCCAGCTCTCCGCAGAACCTGGGCCCAGTGGACCTCCGTCGAGTGTCCACCACTCAGAGACATTCTCCTGCCCTCCTCCTGCTCTGGCAAGGGCTTCGGGCCTTTCTCAGTGACATTCCAGCCCTCCACTGCAGCCCCTTCTCCAGGCCGCTTAGAGAAGTGTCCGTAAGTGAAAATTCCTCACAGGAGACTCCCGTCCTGTCCTCATGTCCAACCTCCACAGTGCTGCGCAGCAGCTGTTCGCTGTCTTTTGCAAAATCACTCGAACGTGGCCATCAGGTCGCCTCCCAAACGTCTTTCTTCAGGACATTTGATCCCAGTTCCCTTGACCTCCCTCCTGGGCCCAGGGCACCTGCCCTTGAATCATCCTTCCTGCCCTTTCCACATCCTTTCCGAAGCCTGCTTCTTGCTCTTGGTGTTGGAAGTTCTGAGGAGACCCCTTTCCCAAGATGCCACGTGCAGCTCAGCTCAGCTCAGGAGCAGGCCCCTCACTCCAGCTTCTTCAGTGTCAAGAAGATGGGGGACAGAGGTTTTGCCCCAGAAGGTCAGACACGGTATCTCCTCTGTGGCTGGAAACAGTGTCGGTGAAGGACATTGTCCTACCTGTGTCTAAGGAAAATTGATGTCGTTTTATTTCCTAGTGAAATGTGTGAGACTGGCAGAAAAGAGTAATTTTTATCACTTATATGGTAGCAAGACTGCTAAACTGAAGACCTTTTCATGTTTAGAATGGCTGCAGGGACCCCACCTTACCTGCCTCCACATGTGCCCCTGGGGAGGATACTTCATTTGGTGAAGGAGTCAAGTTCCCGCCCTTACCCCTGAGCAGCCCTGGGCTTTGAGCTGTTGCAGAGGCTCCGGTGGGAACTCCAGCTTGCCTGCCCACATTTGGGGTCAGAGCCCCATTTTCTCTCTGACCTTTTCAGTGTTGCTGCTCCCTAAGTGTCCAGCCAGCCACATTCTCCTTTCCTGGCCAATCAGTCATTGCTCGTGGCACTGGGTTTCCTGGGAGGCATGTCCAGGGATGACCTAGAGAGGTGGTGTCATCCCTCTGCCCTCTTGTATCCTATCCTCTCTCTTCTGCCTGCTAGTCCCACAGAGGGACCTCAACGTCCATGTGCATCCTGACCCCTTTCTCTACATGGTCTTCTTTCCCTCCCTGCATTTTTTCTGTTTTGAAATAGCAGTGGTTGCCTTCTTGAGCATCCTTAACTTGTTACTGGGACAGAGAAGACAGGGGGCACCAGTGATCAGTGGGAGAAAGAAAAGGAAGACAGAATTAGTTATCCCTTCTTTTTCCAGCCCCTTCCTGCTTTCCTTCCTCCACACTGCCCATGAGGCAGGGGGGCAGGGCTTGGCCCTCCAGCACCTTAACATTGCAGAAAACACCATCTTTCCACAACTGCTTCCACAATTCTAAAAGCAAGGGAGGAAATGTACAGGTACACATGTACGTGTATGTCTGCAAAATTTTAAAAGATACAGAGCTTAACAACTTGGAACATCTTGCTGGGAAAGGTGAATATATATTCTCTTTAAAAGAAATCATATTTATTGAGTTAACAGTGAAAATGTGTCTTTATTCATTCAAGGAAAAAAAAATCTATGTAGGAATTCTTTTGTATACTAGGGACTGTTTTAAGTGCTGGATTAGCTCCCGAGAGATTCGTTGTTGGGAGGAAACAGTGAAAGTCAAGTGATTGAGTGACTGTCAGTTGCCAACTGGGCTGAATGCTGTGACATGGAGGATAGGGAGCACAGTGGGTGCTGTGTGCACAGGGAAAGCCTTGTTTCAGTCTCTGAAAAGTCCAGGAAGGGCCTCTCTGTAAGCAGAGAGTCTGGGCATGAGTAGGAATTATCTGGAAGAGGGAAGAAGGGAATGGGTTTGCTTTAAACTTCATCAGCCAGGGAAGATGGGAAGATATAACCTCGGAGCTGCCCTTCCTAAATATATACTTAGTAATTTTAAGGAGTAGACAAGTCAGCAGGGCATGAAAGCAAAAAAAATAAAAAATAAATAAATTTCATTTGATGTAACAGGCAATCTTTAAATTGAGCCAATTTGATGTTGGCCTACTTGAAAATTAGATAGTGGAAGCTATACTAATTCCATATACCTAAGCCTCTCTGTGGTCTGATAATGGTGTGCATTATTTTTGCTTGTTGCAGTAAAAATCGTTATTATAAAGTTTGTTACAATGAAGTTTATATTTGAAGCACTAAGTGCTTTTACTCTTCAGTTTTCACTTTCCTCCACTGCTCTCTAGGAAGCACTCCTGACTAATGTGTCCTAGGAGTATGCCTTACCCTCCCAAATTGACTTTCCCAACCAAAAGTTTTCTTTTTCTTCTCTCTCTCTCTCTCTTTTTTTTTTTTTTTTTTTTTTTTTTTTTTTTTTTGGTGAGGGGGACTCATCTTAACCACTGAGCCACATCTCCAGTGCTTTTTATGTTTTATTTTGAGACAGGGTCTCATTAAATTGCTTAGGGCCTTACTAAGTTGCTCAGGCAGGCCTCAAACTTGCAATCATCATGTCTCAGCCTCTGGGTTTCTGGGATTATAGGCATGTGCCACCAGCCTGGCCCCAGAAGTTTTCTTTGAAAGCATGAAAACCCACTACTATGGTGTGCTTGTGGTTCTTTCATTTCCACATGCAGTTAATGTGCTTGATGGGAGAGAACTGATTTGATCAGGTTTCCTCCCACATTTAAACCCAGGGTAGCACTGCTCATTTTCCAAAGAAACTCTCCTTCTGGAAGAACAATGCTGGGACGTGCCTGAGTATTGAGAGGGAAGCAGTCTGTGTAGTAAGCGCTGTCACTTTTTAATCCCTTACTTTTTGTTGTTTTCTCAAAGGCAGGATCTATCTGTTGAAAACATCTTCCGAGACTGGCTTGAGAGTTCTGGAATGCCAAAGGTATGCTCAAGATAACTGCTTCAGGAGTCTGTGGAGAGCAGACTGCTCAGCCCACCAATCATGACTATGGTTTTTAGTACATGTACATAAACGTAATGATCTTGCTGAGGTGGAGTGTCCCTAAGTCAGGAAAACACTGCACTTCAGTGTGCCATTTGAGGGCACTCCTATGGCTACTGTTTCAATTTATTGTGATGCTATGGGTGGATGTTAGTCGGTTTTTGTGACACGTAACCAAAATACTTGTAGAGAACAACTTAAAGGAGGAAAGGTTTATTTGGGGGCTCAGGGTTCTGGGTTCACAGGTGGCTGAGTACATTGTTCTGGGCCCACTCAGGCAGCACATCTCGGCACAAGGGTGGGGTAGAGGAGTGCTGCTCCATTCGTAGCTGACCAGGAGACAAACAGAGAGGGAAGTGGCCACAGGGGAGATGCATCCTTCCAGGGCACGTCCCCAGTGACTCACCTCCTCCAGACACACCCCACCTCCAGTTACCACCAAGGCCCTTCAAACTAGGACGGACTGATTAGGTTCCAGCTCTCACAGTCAATCACTTAACCTCCAAACAGTCCTGCATTAACAATGGAGCTTTTGGGGATACCTCATGTCCAAACCAGAACAGTAGACATGATGCTATCCTCTGCATTGTGTGTTAAATGGGTTCTTACAGAGCATGGGGCATATTTTGGGTAGTGTCACCAGGCAACAGTTTCATGCCCCCAGGGTTGGGCAGCTGACCTCTAGCTCTACTCTTTGGATGTAGCCAAATAGGCAGACAGCTTTCATTTCCCTTATTTCTCCAGTACACCTGCCTCTCAGCCTCCCTCCCCGGTATGCAACAGCCTCCTGCTTCAGGCTGGCCTCACCTGTATTATCTGCTTAGAGTTCGTTTCTCTGTTTTGGGGCCTGGGGCTCACTCTTAGTCAAGATTTTCTCCTTCCCTTTCAGTCCATGGGCGGTTCTGAGGGAGACGCCTTTTCCTGACCAGCCCTAGTCCCATCTGAGTCACCTGACCTGAAACCTCCTCTTCCCCAACCCTCATCCGGGTCCTGAGCTTCCTAGAGCCTGTTGGGCAGCCCAGGCCCCTCACCAACCCAAATCCTGACTCAAGCAAGAGACTGGGCCCTGGGGAATCTGAGGGTGTCATCCCAGACAAGGTAGTCAAAGGACGCTTTGGCCTGGAGCTTTCCCTGTCTGGGTGAGGGCGGCTGCACACCACTGTGGTGGGCTTTAGTGGCTGAGGGTGGACTCCCATGGCAGTGAGAAGCTCTGCCCCAGCTCAAGCAGCCCCTGTGACCTACTTGTTTCTGGTTTCATGGCTGGTTATATGAGCTTCCCCTTGGGAGTGTCTGAGTGTCAATCAATGTCTGTGATCCATGAAATGAAGGAGCTGGGGGCAGGGTGTCTCCATTACCTTTTCATCCCTCAACTCACTTCTCTATTCTTTCCTATCACTTGGGAAAATTGTCTGCCACAAGCCATCATTAACTTGTTCCTAAAAAAGGACTTTCTGCCTTTAGTTCAGGAGTGCATGTCACTTGTTAAAAGTTATTTATTTGGCCCAATCCTCTGGGAACAAAAGAGAATTTACAATAGAACAAAATGGAGTGGAGCAAGGCAGCTCCGGGGCCCTTCAGTTTCTAAGAAGGTGACTTATAGACCAGGTCACCCCCATGCAGAATATCCTGGGAGAGCGGGTTCAGGTTCCTCTGGTCAGAACTGCAGCCTGGCCCTTCATGCTTTACATGGGCTCAGGGACAGTCCTTTGCCTACGGTTGTCTTCCTAAGCCAGAGTGTTGTAAGGGTGTCCAGACTTCCCGGCCTGGGACAAGGCAGCTACTTGCAGCAGTTAGCCCAGAGGGAACGAAAAAGAAAACGTTCTTAATCTCGCACCCAGAGCTGGCATGTCCCTCTTGGGTTGTGGGTCTGTACCTTCCCCTGGAGAGGAGGGGTTTGCCAGGACCAGGAGGCTGTTGTTTTTCATTAAAGGGGGAAGGGCGGTGGCAGGGAGAGAGTTGCCTGTGAGCCTCGTGCTCTTTCCAAGATCTGGTTGCATGAGCGCCAGCTTGCCGTGTGAGCCCTAAGAATCCCTGCTATGAACTGATGCCCTGCTGTCGAAACAGACAGGTGCGAAGAGGCCAGCTGGCTGTAAATTGTCTTTAAGACATAACTGCTATTTCTTTGGGTCCTGAACTCCTTAGTAAAAACACAGCAGCAGACAGAAGGACCCTGATTTGGTGCACAGTGTCCTGTCGCTGGGTGACCAGGTGGCGCACCTTTTCATCTCCTCTTCCCTTTCTGTGGCTGCTGGTCATTGGTCTGCTCTCAGCCCTTCCAGACTCCTGGAAAGTTTCTTTTTGTTTCCACTTGAGCAAAAGGTGTGGCGAGGACCTGAGACCTCAGGCTGCAGAAGCTTTCAGGTGCACAGGAGGCCTTGTCCTTCGTCCCCATGGTGATGATATAAAGTTCCTAGCATGCCTGCCCTGGAATGGCGACTGGGTAGTGAGATTCCTCCGTGCTCTTTGTTCTCCAACATTTCTGGCCCCCAGCAGCTGAAGTCATTCATGACAGAAGTCACGTTTTCCTGCTCAGGTTTTCACCCCGCGGTTACAGAGGCTTTTTGTCTTAGGAAAGGCTGGCTTTGTGGTTGGCCTTGATTTTCCTTTTTTTGCCACATTGATTGGAAGTCATTAAAAAAAATAATAAAATAGCCACAGCAACAACAGAGGTGAGCATGAGTGCCACACAAGTAAAAGAAATTGGATCAACATCTCTAAAGAGCATCTCACCCTATGACTTTTGATCTTCCAGAGAGACTTAAATCATGCCCTCAGTGGGGTAAATTACTCACTTTGTGACATTTTTCTGACTGTAGAAATATTAAACATTTATGTTAGAATATTTTAAAAATTTATAAATAAAAAATAAAAATGACCCAGAGATCTCATGAAAATGGGAGGAGACCAAGAGATTAGAGGAAGGGATCGAGAGCGGGGAGTTGTGGGGAAAGAGGTAACAGAATCAGCTGTCTATGTGTACGGCTGCACCACAATGAGGCCCGCTTGTATGGCATTGTATGTACTAATTTAAAATAGTAAAAGGGGATAGGGAGGGGTGGGCTGGGGAATAGAGGTATGGGGAATGAGATGATCAAATTATGTTATGTACATATATGAGTATGTAACTGTTGTGTGTATCAGTAAGAACCACAAGGCTGAGGATGTCGCTCAGTGGCAAGCACAAGGCCCTGGCACAATTCCCAGCACTAAAAACAAAAAAACTATATATGTATGTATGTATATGTGTATATGTGTGTGTGTGTGTGTGTACACACACACACACACACACACATACACATATACATATACACACATCACAAAAAATTAAAAGATAAATAAAAATATGACAACACACAAAAAATGACCAAGAGATTATTTTTTACACATATCCTTTTAGTCATTATTCTAAATATCCCAATACATATTTTACCCTTTTCTCTTTATTCTCTCTCTCTCTCATTCATATATATATATATATATATGTATATATATATATATATATATATATCTTCCACTGAGCTATACCCCAAACCTTTTCATTTTGTTTTTGGAACAGGGTATTAGTATAATGCCCAAGCTGGCCTCAAACTTGTGATCCTCCTGCCCCAACCTCTTGAGTAGCTGGGATTACAGACATATGCCACCATACCCAGCTTATCTGCTTTTTTAAAAGTAAAAACAATGTGCTTTCTATAGCAAGTTGAAATAATAGCAGAATATGAGATGTAAACAACCCTGAACCCCTCAGTCGTACTCCCCAGGATTACCACGCTCCGTGTACATCCTCTCATATCCTCCCTGCTATGCCCTTTTTAAATAAAATTGGAATTTTATCATCCAAACTTCATTTTTTTAAGACTGTGTCATGAGCAGTTATCCTTAATACATTTCAAGAGCAATATTTTTATTGGTACATTTTAATTATACATAATGGTAGGATTCATTGGTATCGTATAAGCACATAAGATAATTTGATCAATCTCATTTCCTAGTACTTCCCCCTTCCTCCCCAGAGTTCCTCCCTCTACCCTTCTGGTCTCCCTTCTATTTTCATAAGATTCCTATTTTTTTTTTCTCTCTAGCCATATAAGAGAAAACATATAAGCTTTGACTTTGAGTCTGCCTTATTTCAAAGAGCAATATATTTTTAACAGCTGCATTGCTTTTTAATGCATAGTATCATAACTGAATTTTCTCAATAGTATGCTGTCATTTCTTAGTATGTGTAGGGATTGGTTCCAAGGCCTGTTGTGGGTATCCAAATCCTTGGATGGCCAAGTCCCATATGTAAAGTGGTAGGATATCTACACATAACCTACATCTCTCTTCCCAGATCCTTTGAGTTACTCTGTATTACTTATCATACCTAATACAATGCAGAGGCTCCATCAACAGCTTTACACAATACTGTTTAGGAAACTGTGACAAGGAAAAATGCCTGTGTGTGTTCAATACAGATGTAGTTTGTTGTAGTTGTTGTTGTTTAATACTTTTGATCCTTGGTTGAATCCAGGGATGTAGAGTCTGTGGATATGGAGAGCCAACTGCACATTATTGTTAAGAAAGTTGTACATTTTACTAATTTGTCACCTCTATAAATAGACTTCTATTCCTTTTCTTGTTCACTGTAAGGTTCCTCCTCATCCAAGGTGCACATATGTATTTTAATCTCCCCCCAACCCCTGGGATTGAACTCAAGGGCACTTGACCACTGAGCCACATCCCCAGCCCTATTTTGTATTTTATTTAGAGACAGGGTCTCACTGAGTTGCTTAGCACCTCACTGTTTGCTGAGGCTGGCTTTGAACTTGCAGTCCTCCTGCCTCAGCCTCCTGAGCTGTTAGGATTACAGGCCTGTGCCACTACAACCAGCTATGTTAATCATTTTTGTTTGCAGATTTATTCGGATACCTTTTTTCCATCTAATCTTTCTTCAGCAC